GCAAAACAAACTTGCAAAGGGGATTCCCATTAACAACAACGCCGACGTTCGAGATACTTCGTTATCAAATTCATATTTCAAACAGAAACTCAACAGTAAAATCTACCCCCTGTGGGAAAAAAGATGGAAAAGCTTATAAGAACGATGATGCACACATTATCATACGCTAAAAATAAATATATACCAAAATATAACTATTCACGATTAATATTGTTCATCACCGAACATGGATCCTTCCCAACATACTTCTACAGATTTGGAATTTCAAACACTGACCATTGAGCATGTGGTGAGCAAGGCCCGCACTTAAAAAACAGCCAAATAACAGAAGGTTTGCTTATGAAGTTTCCAAACATTAATCCGCAGTATTCGGAAAATATTTAATTAAGAAAAATCACTTAACACTGACAAATATATCAGATAATGGATGTGCTTTCACAGCACGGAGAATAAATGTGTTGGGCTGCGTAATAAAGTAACTCGGGGCACAAGAATTTACAACGATATTCATTTTATACCATAATAGTACTTCCTAAGAGGATAATATGGTAACGGACATTTCATGTATAGAAGTACAGTATCTCTGTAGCACAAAAGACATATTAACTGATGTACACTGCTAGCCACCCAAATTGCAACACCGAGAAAGACAAGAGATATCACAACAAAATTTATTTAGTAGATAACATGTTGATCAAGTATCAACTGATTAAATTTATAGACTTCTGTGAAGTGCGGTTCCTTCCAGAATCAGTAGCCAGAGTAGCCGCTATTGTTGGAGATCAGTGCTGCCACACGCCTCGGCATTGATTAAAAGAGACTTTGGATGTGTTCTTGGGGTACAGAAGACCAAGCAGCTTCCACACCAGAGCTTTGGCAAAGTTGATCTGGTGTGACAGCTTGAGATGTAATCTGGATCAATCTTTCAGCAACCATGGATCACATGTTTTCTCTTCACGAAAGATCCGGAGAGCGAGCCGGCCAGGGATGAAATTCAATCTGGCGATTGACGAAGAACCCTTGGACAATGCGTGCCACGTGTGGTCGCGCATTATCCTGTTGAAATATGGCTGTGGTCAAGCCTTGAAGGACAACTGGTTCCAACACCTCGAAGATGTAGCGCTGGCTGTTTAAAGTACTGGCAATGCGTATTAGAGGAGTGCGAGAGTGATATCCATAGCACAATACCCGGTGCAGGACCAGTGTGGCAGTGCATAACCCAGCTGTTCAGCATCCTCTCTCCACGGTGTCTCCAGAGTCGAATCCGACCATTCTGGCGTTTCAGACAGAAGAGTGACTCGTCAGTAAAGTCATTCCATTCTGCCGTCCACATCCTTCTTTTATCGCACCATTGGCGGTGGAGACGTCTGTGGTTCTGCGTCAAGAGTAGACGAAGCAATGGATGTCTTGCGGACAGACCACTCTGCTGTAAACGGCGTCGAATGGTACGCGCGGACACTGGATGATGCGTTACAAACTGAATGTGCTGTGACTGAGCGATTCGTCACTGCCATGCGCACAATGTTCCTGTCATCACGTGAAGTGGTGCACTGAGGTGGATACGATCGAACACGTCGGTCTGTCGTACCCTCCTGCATCCAAAGATCACATATCCGCATATCCGCATTACAGTTGTTTGGTTTCGTCCAACACGACTACCGATTTCCCTGAAAGATAATCCACACTCTCGGTAGGCCACTGTCCTTCCTATGTCGAACTCGGATATTTGATCAAACGATGATCGCTGTTTACTACGAGGCATAATTGATCGTTTTTTGAAAAGAACCACAAGAAAAACACAATTGTCGAATGTGAAATCGTTGAAAACTTCAAGCCTTAAATAACGCTTTGAAATGGCGCCACAGGCACGCGTGATGTGCATCTGCGCTGAAATTCTAATTATTTGCATATCTCACCTCCGCTAATGCATGTTGTAAATTTCATGCTATTTGAATGCTTCAGGGTGTTGCATTTACGGTGACCAGCAGTGTATGTGACTTATGGGTGAAGTGATATTTCATATATAGAACATGACCATTTGTATTTTTATCCTATAGTAATTACATGTACTTTGATCCCTATGGATTTAACAACATTATTATGAGCATCATATCATATTAGTATCCAGTTCCGCTCATAATTAGCATTTTAAGCATAATCAAGAATCAAATGTGTTCATTCACTCATACATCTGTGTATTAGCTATATAAGCATTATGCAATTAACATATAGTGTTGTATTCTGTGAAATATATTGCATATTATTGCCTATTTACAGTAGTGTATACTGTTGTATATTGCTATATATATATTTGCAATAATATAATGTATATAATCTTAGTACCATTTAGTGTAAACGTGTAACCTACAGCGTTATAGCTGCCTACTGCCAGATAAGCAATGGAAGTACAATTTCAGTTACACAATGCCCTTAGCTCACTGCGGACGCTGGCTTCTCTACCGGGACTCTCACGCTCAATAGTGGCGGACGTGGACAAAAATCAACTAATCTAATGATTAATAGACGGTACGCCCTTCACCGTATATATATGTAATATGAGAGTTATAATCGTTACAGCTGCATCAATCGACTATTGCGATTGATGCCGATGCTGAGTAGTATTACCTCAAAATGCTTAGCAATGTGAATAGTAATGTTAGTTAAAAATTTAAGCAAAGGACAGTTCTTAAAAAGTAAATTTCATATTTGATTTCGAAACTCATTGCTGATATTTCAGTGGGAAAATCATTGTAATGTCACACATTATGTGATGAAGCGTACTGTCCTTTCTTTATCTCCAGCTCTCCAATCGGTGAAATTTATGATTCTCTCTATGAATTATTGTTGTAACTCAATTGTCTTCAGAAACACAATTAAATTCATGTATTTTGTGATTTTTTAAAGAAAATATATCAGAACTACTGAGTCATAAAACCTACTAACAAGATGTTGCCAAAATATGTGTATAAATATAGCAGTATCATTAATAATGATGAAAATACTTTATGGATATTTGTAGAAATCTGCAAAAGTTTTAGTAAATCTTAATCAGAAGTGTAAGAGCTTTGTTTTAAATCGGTCATTGAAGATGGGAGTTTAAAATTAGGAAAGGGTATCATTTGTGACAAAAACATAGCCAGTTCCATCGGTAGCAAACATCTACTAACAGGTACTCCCTCGTCTTTCTTTGTGTCTATTTGTAACGCTGTAAATACCAGGAAACATATAGAACACCTGGTGCGCCAACATCAGCACCAGACATTCAGCACCATCATCTTCTGCATCAACACCATCTAGATTTTTATGGCATATATATATAAATATGTTTACTTTTAAAACTGCCAATCTGATGAAGGACTCTTCTCGTCAAAACAAATGAAGAATTTGTATTTCATGTATTGAAAAAATAGATTATTTAGTCTGAAATATTTTGAACATTTGACTAATAATTACCGTGCTTACGTATGTATCCCCGTTTACTATTAGTTTTACTGCTCGAAAACAGAGAAGGGAAAATTTCCCGGTGTATATCATTTGCTAGGGAGAGAAACTGCTTAATTTCCCTTCTTTAACATATCAAAAACAGTACATGGATAAATGACTAACATTAATGTGTTTTATATTTCAAAAGACGTCAGTACCAATAAATCTTCGATAACGACCCCTTCCACGTTCTATGTTGCTCTTTATATAGCTCTGTTACACTTTGCTCTTGATGTAGCTTTAAATCAGGATATTTCTATAACCAATAAAGACCTGAGAAGAAACGAACGTGAGCAAACGCGCATTGGATTTCCTGAATACAGAGAGGAAGTTGAAAACAATATCAGTAAATCAGAAATCATTACTAAAAAAACTAGGGTGTTATACACAGTATATTGAAATTAGGATTATTAATAATCCTACAATAGGTATTTAGTTAAAAAAATGAGCCACACCTCTCGCGCCCTTCAGTGGCCTAGCGGATAAGAATATTGAACAATGGCGATTCGATTTGAATTAGAAAGAGCTGGATGCACGGACACTTTGTTTTTCCATGTACCATAATGCAAATAAATCCAGTCTATCGCAAACTATCTGCCAGTCCGTCACAGACACCCTTCGCCTTCAATAAACAGCCTCCATGAGCTTTACCATACCTATGCTGTTAATGAAACAAACAAATGCATGATTAATTATTTTGAATCCAAATGTACAAATGATTAGTAAAGCGAAAGATTACTAATTAATTAAATTTAGTAAAGCCAAAGACATGTCGAACGCCAAGAGAGGCCGACACCTTGTTTTCTGGCATCAAATGATAAACTCATTGATGCCAGAAGATTCAAGAACTTTTCTTTTACATCCACACAAGTTGTGGATGTAAAAGAAAAGTTCTTGAAGGAGATTAAAAAGCAAATAGTACTTATATGAAAGTGAAAGAAATTTATTGTTTTACAAATGAAATGTGTATAGTTTAAATATAGCTTTCATACCCACTGGGAAAGTAAAAAATCAAAGTGACAAGCTTTATTGCAATAATGGATTATTTATGATGGGATGGAGGACTAGAAACGAACCCCAAAAATGTGAGATTTTCCTTTATGGTTAACCAACCATTCAGGTGGGAAAGTATCATAGTGGTATTGTCTATCAGCTCTCGGCAAACATGAGATTAATAGAAATGTTGAGAAGTTCCCTAGGGACACGCTAACCTGCAGCAGAGGGCGCTCGTATCTACCGGATGAAGTTGAAAACACTACAAGCGGATACTTTTTCAACCGAAAAATTCCTGCTTGCGAAATCCCCGAAACACGTTCCTCTGTCTTGCCCACATTATCCGGCCGCCCGCCCGGACCTTTGATGGGGAAGACCGGCAATTCCTCCTCGTCGATCGAAGCAGAAGGTGCGACCGTCCGGGAGGGGGTCCGGCGATCGATCTTTTGCGAAAATGAGCCGCTACAGTATCGCTGCCGTCAGACGGCGCTGGGTGTCCCCCTCTACAGCTACAACTTCTTCCGCATAACAGAAGATGGCAACCGTCGGCCGTCTCTGAAAAGCGGCCCGCACAAGAGCGGCTGTCAGCCGAGTCTAAATTTTGTTCTACCCAATTTTTTGTGGTCGCCGAGGATTACACACCCCTTTCCAATGTGTCGATCGAGGATAGACCCGCTTATTTTTACTTCTTCGATAGGTAAGATCAATTCATTTGTCTCTTTTAAACTCCTTATGGTCTACACAGCTTTGCACTGTTTTCCTCTGATTCTGTACCCGTCTCGTCTTTCAAAACATCGCACACCGTTCGAGAATCCTGATCAGCAACTCATTTCTGTCCTTGAGGCATCAGCTGGGGGAGAAAAGAAGGTAACTACCGAAAACAAAATTCTTTCTGTTGTTGTAAAGATTTTGCAACACGATCATACCGTGTCAAACAAAGTCGAAGAGTTCCTCTGTTCTTCTTCCGCTTTTCGCCCACTCATTTTTTTTTTTTTTTCATTTGTACTAAAAAAACTCATTAAAAGATAAAGTTCACAACATACATGCAAATTAAAAAGTAATGAAAGAAATCTGTAGTGGTTGATTTTAAGAACTTTTCAAGAAATATAAAATGAATTTTTTTTTTTTTTTTCAGTTTACTCTACTTCGAATTTAAATGAAATGTTAACCGTCTGCTAATCAGTACTAGAGTTGATGTATTTAAATGATGAGCGCAAGAACTTCGCGAGAATTCTCTTATGCATTTCGATGCGTGCGTCTTTTCTGTCGACAAAATTGCTCAAGTTATCCTTTGATTTCGAAACACTTTTATTCTATTCGATCTTTTGTAAAATATTAAATGTGTTCGACTCTTGCGGGAAGTTGGTTGCCCATAAAATATGGAAAAAATTTAAACATTGAAAGTTCCATATTGAACACACTACTTTTGGTAGATTCCAGTTTGCAATTAGTTATAATGGCAATAATCTTCAGCATGTGAAGGGGATTAATAATTCATGTCTTGCCTATCGAGTTTGGTTTTAATAATTACGAAGTTCTACAATGGAGGACATCATCAAGATGTTTCTTAGAAAAAGATTGTATAAGAGGCTGAATACAAACTTATTGATATACTAACGTTATTTTTCTTCCAGCTGAGCTTTATTCCCAAATCTGTTACTCGAGAGTTTTGTATTTAGTTTTACTTCTAATAGTTTTCATTTCTCAAGCTTTTGCTAACGGTCGCCAATAAGTTGGCCTGCTGGATTGTTTCCGCATTTTGTCTGTGGACAATGTTAGGAGACTGAGAATCGGTATTCGATGATGCTCTATAATCCTATCATAGTCTACTGAGAAGGTTGTAAATAATTGGCACTCAGTAAACTACCAATACATCATATCTGTTCAATTTACAACTGATCTCACTAACGATTATTTTGCTTAAGAATTCATCTTATTAGTTCCAGTATCTTTAAAATTTTACCAGTTTTTGTATCTTTTACTCAGTTACCACCTATTTAGATAAACTATAGACCTATGTGTGTTTTAAGAAATGTTATGGAGAAAAATTACGGAAAACCTTTTTGATTTCTTTTCTGAAAAATACTTATAATAAACTTAATCGTTTTGCGTGTTAAATGTTAAACATCTGTAAGTCTCTAGCTGTTATTAATTCCTGTAAGTCCCTATCAGTTAAAGTAATTATCTGTTGATTATGATTTTTTAAATTTATTTGAATTCTGTAGTGTTTTAATTAAGATATTTAAAAGATTTTAGAAGTGTCCCTAAAATAATTGTTTTTTAATAAATAATTTTAAAAAATCAGTCCCATTCGAAGAGTGAAGGAAATAAATATGTTATTCCGCGATATCTTCAAAATAAATGATATAACTACTTTTTTAAATTAGAATAGCTTTCGCTTTTGGAGTTAGAATTATTTTGGAGTATTAATTAGAATAGCTTTCGCTTTAGTCATCTGCAAGGTTTATTTTCGGCGAGGCAAGTAAATGAGTACATTTGAAGGAATGTCAAATTAATACGGGTATGGTGACGATATTGTACTATAGTTTTTTAGTGCAATTTGGATAAGGGCTTCGCAGAGAAAGCTTTTACGCCTGCCAATGCATTGCTATTTACATTTCTTTTTTATTCTTAACAAGTGTTATGATGTTAATAAAATTTGTCATCACCTTGTATTTTTCTGTTAACTTCAAATTTTATATTAATTAGTGAAAACGGAGGGAAGCTGAGTCTAAAAATAATGTATCTGTTTCCTGCAAGTGATATTTTTTTTTCTTTTACAACTTTAGAGCCACTTTATCCTTGATTATAAAGCTCCTCTTAATATGCGATATATTAATTAAAATTATTTTATTATTAATTTTAAATTAAATTTTATTAAAATTATTATTAAAATATTATTTTTATTATTAATAATTTTCGAGATGCATTAATTATATATTTTTTGTAATGCGATATATTAATTATTTTTTTCGTCTGCAATGACTAAGAATTTTTGGAAAAATTAATTCGCAGATTTTACATAGAAGTGGCAGCTGCAATTAAAACACTTTATTAGACCGATTCTTAGAATTATTTACTTCCTTAAAGAGTAATTTTTGAAATTCTACTCGCTTTACATGCACAGACTAACATTTGAAAAGAGCATTTTTTTCATCACTTTTTTTAAAACAATTTTATGTTAAAAATATATTTATTTTTTTCTCCAGAATATGCACCGCTTTAAATGAAATTCACACTCTGATTAGATTCAAGAATATATGGGAAAACTGTTAGATATAAAATTCCACTCAGCTTTGTTTCTACACGGTAGTTAGATTTAGGGAAAACCTCTATAGAGAGAAATAAAGGGTGAAAACTGAAATGATCGGGGGAGGTAACTCTAAAAGAGGACAGAAAACGATTACTTATTTTTTGATTATTCTTCTGGTTTTGTTAGCTAAAAGGGGCAATTTGCTCTGAAGGGAGTATTAATTTCGTTTTGGCATTTTACGTTGGTTTACTATAAATGGCGTTTCGCTTTTCAAATTGTTGTACAAAATATTTGAGCCCTACATTATATTTAAAGAAATTAAATCATGAAGAATCTGCATGAACGTATGTATGTTTCTCGCACTGTGAAAATACAATGGTATCCAGAGACATCAGATTTTGAATAACATAGTCTTCCGCTTGAATATGGGCATCTGGAAGCCAAAATTTGGAATTTGGAATTAGTTTCATTATATATTTCGTAAAACGTTAACGAATTTTTGATTAACAAACTCAACGATTTCAAAGCAAGAAATGGCAACACTGTACGAAAAAAAAAAAAAAAAAAAAAAAATTATCTCCAGCGCGCGAGACTGTATATCGGAAGTTCTAATGATACGTTCATTTTAAAATTATTTTGCAATATTGCTGTTGAACTGAATTTTAGGGTTTAAGTGCGAAGAAGCTGATATTTAATAAATAAGGCTTAGACACAAAACGTTAAAATAACACCTCTTTGGACGTAATATAAAATAGATTTTTTAAAAATTCATCTCAGAAGAAGAGCGTTTTATAAAAATTTGTTTGGTATTCTATGCACTTGAACTCAATTATCTAATTAACAATTAGAGCATACTGGAGATTAGACCGTACTGGAGATATCTGATTACGCATTAGAGTATACAATAGAGCAAATTATGTACGATCTATAGATGCAAGCAGAATCATGCTAGAGCAATCGGAATGTTTCATGATGGTATGAAAATTTTGCAAATTATATAAAATATAACTGTTCTTGGGTACTTTTCCGTTTCACCGGCGCAAATCTCGCCAAGCAGACTTTATTGGCGACAACATACAGTATACAAATAAAAAATATTAAAAAAATGTTAGTTCTAAGAATTCTTTTTAAAAAAGAAGGCATAAACATTTTAATATCGCTTAAAATTTTATAAAAAGCCAATAAATAAAGACAGCAAATTTGTAAAAAGACATTAGTTTAAGAATTTACTATGCTTTTTCCATGGTTCAACATCGTGATTCGCCGGTTTCATATCACGTGACACCCAAGCGATCTCATCTCACGTAAACTACTCTACAAAATTTAATGCTCTCAGTAATTATCTACATTAATTTCAAGTTAAATCTTAATTTGGAACACAAGTTTAAATGCAAGAAATATTTTCAATTTGTACGAATAGCTTACTCAGAATTATGTAAAACTGCAGTGCTTTACTTCGCGAATGCATTCTCATTAGAATTGAAATTTAAAAAACCCGTGACTTTACCTTTTCTATATTTTCGGCTTCGTGTAAGCTCTGTGATTGCATCCTAATTGACTTAATTACCGAAAATTGCCTTAGACAAAAAACTGAACTATCTGATAAAAATTCTATGTGATGATATGCCAGTATTGAAAGAAACAACCAATCTGATAAGAAAAAGCTGCGACTTGTTTTGAAAATGAGGCGTAAAAGGTTACCAGCGAGAATATTCCGTTTGGCATCGGTTGTACCATTATTGGCGACTTTATCGCTTGCGCCGGCAAAACAGAAAAGTACCATGTTCTTGTTTAAAAAATTCATGTTCATTCATTGTTTAAATTTAGAATCCCATATATAGTTTGATAATGCTTACATTTTATTTCGCAAGAGAGAAAAGATTCAAAGAGCGTTTAAACTTTTAATATAAAACATTAAGCATTAAATAAAGATTAAAAATACACGAAAATTGCTAATTAAACCTAAAAATACAATTACTTTTATTTCTTAAAATTAAGTTTTCTTGGAATGGATACTTTTCTCTGAGTTCCGAATATTTCAATCGAATTTTAAGTGAGGTATACAGAAAAGGAATTTCAATTTGGAATCTTTATAAATATCCAGTTAAAACGTTGAAATTTGTTTCATTTGGGGAAGATTTTATGTAAAGATACATAAAGTAAATACGGGCATGCTTCTCGCTTTGGTGCCAGCTTATTGCAATAAAATTATCGCAATAAAACGAGCCATACCACATTTCTGCAGTGCATATAAAAGTTAAATTTACTTTACGGATACAGATGTTTATACTCTGCAATAAAGCTGTTTCCTTTTCTTGTTGTTAGTATGTTTTCTAAACAAGCATTTGTTATTTCAAGAGCTTTCTCTTTCCAACGAAGCAACGAAGTTAGCAATTTGACGCAAAAGGCTAAGTTTTCAGGCCAGATCCAGCGTTCAATATAAT